CCAGTGCTTTCAGGTTTTCAATGGTGGTCTAATTTAGATCGACTCATGAATTCAACTATTATAAACTACTACAATCTCCACAAACCCCAATTCTAAAGATAAAAAGTAGTCTGAACTATAGTTGTTCTATCGCGTTCATATCAGTTTACGATTTCTAGATGGAGCTAAAGCGAAAGACTTTAAAATTTTGTCTGACTTAGTTACAGAATGATTCTACCTGTTCCATTACAAGTTTTAATATCATATTACACAACAGGTGAAACAATATCCATTACATTCTTATCTTTGTGTACTATCGAGCTTATGAATTAAGTAGTGATATCCAAGTGAGTAGAAATATTCATATTCCCCTTCAGTCCAAGCTTGCATACCATAGATATCTTAATACAAAATCATCGATCATGTTTCTATGTTTCCTTTGAATACACTTGAAGTGATTTTATGACTTTTTTATCATGATTTTCATTCATACTTCATTTCCATAAATTCCTATTTCTATGATAGTTTTTAAGGTTAATGGATTAATTTTAAATCCTTTATTGTCACTGATACGTTGGTGACAATTTGACGCCAAGAATATAGTAATCTGTGATAACTAAACAATGTTTATATCTTTTTTACACTGTTATCCAATAGTATGACAGTATTGAATGAAGAAGGACTATGAAGAAATCGTTTTGTGTGTGTGTGTGTGTTACAGACAAATTTAAAAGTGTTAACTAGACAAGTGATTATTATCTAAATATTTACACAGTGCCTCTTATAATACGTTCAATGATAAAAAGTTGTCAACATATATATATTCATATACATAAAATTCATAAAAATGAATCCCTTGGTAGTGTATCAAGATCGAATAATGCAAATATCATTTACTTATTTATTTTAACACCGAAATATTGGTACAAAGGGACACCGAATACACATGCACCACACAAGTCGCTTGATTTGTGTGTGAGCTATATTACTGCCTAAACCGAAACAGCTAGCTTTCTTCGGGGACCACACCTGGAACCTTCGACCTAAAGGTCTGATTCACAAGGCAGTGGAGCAACGTCAAGAGATGCAGTCCCATGGTAGCCAGTGACCAACGATTGGTTCATACACCATTTGTTCACACAGGATCCTGGAACCCATGTGCACCAATGGTTTGGAATCAGAGTTTTCTAACTCCTTTAGGTGAACTTACCATGTTCACCAACCCGGTTAGAGCGCTGGAAATTCTCTTTTCATCCTCTCAATTTCGTAAACCACACCTCCACCACGAGAAGGCATTGAGTAGAAATTTTCTGTCAGTGGCTGTATATGCATGGCCATGTGAGAGCGTTTCGAGAGGGAGAGCCGACTCTCCCCACTCTTGACCGTACCAAGGCGAATATTGATTTTGTTAATTGTATACTATTTTCAAAGTAATTAATTCATGAATATAAAAAAGCCCTTCCGGGGGCTACTACCGGTCTCAAGCCCGGATAAAGGAGGAGGGTTGGGCTTGGGTTTGCTACCACATCCCGTAGAAAACTAACTCGCTAAAAAAACGCCAATTTATTATTTCCAAATCTATTTTTTCATTACTGGTATCTTTAGAATAAAAAGATATTTAGTGTCATTATTGATAAGTCTTTCTAATCGAACGCTATACTCGGTTTCTAAGCTAGTCTCGTAAACCCCAAGCTAAAACTACACAGCAACTTAAACACGAGAGAAAAGGCGCTGATTAGATAAAATGCTTCCTAATGTTTCCTGAGCCTTTCTTGTCTTTTCAATGTTTTATTTCAAATCGAAATAACTATTATAAGACAAATATCAGTATAAGATTATGGAAATTGTTAAGTTTCTAATTGAGATCACGAGTCGATTGATGTTAGACCACTATTGAAAATCAGGAAGCACTAGATGGCCAGGTGCTAACTAGTGATTAGCTTCGTCAGTGAATCGTTGGAGTTCTAGTGAGTAGCTGTGACCAGTGGAATCAATCTATGTCTGATAGAGACATGTATCTACAATCGAGTGGTGGTCTAGAGGTTAGGTGTTCGCACGCGAGACTAAATTTCCTTCGTTCGAATCCTGTGTGAAGGATCGTGGACGGGCAGTGCAGAGGAGTCTCATAGCAGAACGAAACGGATGTTCGGTGCTCCCAGGTAAATTCAGCTGACAAGTCACAAATAGGACGGAACGCACGTCATGGATTCCACTGCTAGCCACCATTCATCTATGCTTTTAGTAGTAGTCGCCGTTATTACTGTAATTTATATAACCAAAATGATGTGGAATTTCAAAAAACCTGTATATTTTCACTAGTATACTTCCTTATCAAACATTGTGAAGTAATAATTCCCGTAGACAGACACTGCATCAGTCATAGTTCATAAAAAGCCTCGGTTCCCCCATCTTTTCATATAGTTCTCAGTTGCTTCTCATTTTATCTGGTATATCCTTTTGTGTCTACTATTGTGCTTAATAGAATTGTAGTTGGTCACCCGATGATCCAAATGTTACTTTTGTGAAAACAATCCAATCGACTTTTCATACAATTGTATTCAGTTTCTTCTATAAAATGTATGTCATTTCGTTCTAGTTATTGGTTAAGTATGATTGTACTATGACTCTGATAAGTTTAATGTATTTTCTGGAGAATATACACAGTATATGAGAAATAGATGGATTTTTGACTTATCAGTCATTTATCCTGGAAGATAGCTTAAGTTATGTATCAATGAAACGAAATTGTATATGATCGTTTAGTGTGTGCTACTGATGTCGACAGATATAAGTAGTATGTATCATCAGTCAAAAGTGAAATACCTGGAGGCAGAAGCTTAGGAAGATCGAAGAAAAGTGAACGAGAACTGAGAATAATTGGTGTGAAAATGAAGGAACTATTAGGTCTGAGACGATTGGCTGATATTTTTAGGATGAAGTATTTACTGTATGGTTCTCAAATTTTACTAAGAAACTCTGTAATTTTGTGTTAGAATACATTCGATTGTCCCTATTAAAATTGTTGGTTTTCACCCGGAATGTCCACGTCTAACTTCAGATCAAAAAAAGTAGATCATTGACATTGCACTAGACGCATCGCTGTGTACATTCGGATATCAGCATACTTACAGTCTTAAAACATGAGAATCAGTAGATTAATTAATCTGCTAGACGATGATTTAATACCAATACATACAATTAACCTAGTAACAACTGTCTAGACGATTCATGGTAAGTGTAGAAATAACTAACTTACACTGATATTTAGATATACATATTCAAGTTATCTATTTGAATAGCTGTTGGGAGATATCAACTCACTAAAGACATCAGTGAAATGGTTGCTCAATTTCGTGGATTGGTTGAAGTTAGACATTAACACCGTTGGATGCCGGACAGCTCAATAGTCTATCGGTTAAGTGCTCGCGCGCGCGACTGGTAGGTCCTGGGTTCGAATCTCGTGAGGCGAGATCATGGATGCGCACTGCTGAGGAGTCCCATAATAGAACGAGTTGGCCGTCCAGTGCTTCCAGGTTTTCCATAGTGGTCTAGCTTCGATTGACTCATGATTTCAACAATATATAATGAAGAAGAAGTAGTAGGAAGGAAATAATAATCAAATCAAATAACTGACTACTTCCAATATTATTATTTAATTAAGTAGTATTAAAATAAACAGGAATAAAACAATGGAATTCAAAGTGAAATACTAATAATGAACATCCATTGAATATTTGTTAATCCTTATGTTCTACCTTGACATTCATTTAGACATTTTAAAGAAAAAAAAAAGAAGCAAATTCAAACAATATTGTTAACTGTTTAGTGTATAGATATATATGGAAATCGATGTCAGAATTGTCTGACCAAATGTCAAATACCATAAATAACTTACATGATATACCAAGCGTTTAATATTATGTGAGCTATCATCTTATCTCATGTATGTAATGTTAATATGGTTAACATGTCAAGTTAAATACACATTTGGATTCGTTTCTAGGGAGAAGAGAAAAAAAGTACGAAATGCCAAGAAAAATTTCTGATAGATTTTTGAACACGAAACCTTATTCATCATATTAAAAATATTTACTATATGTACATAGAGGAAGTATTTACACACACTCAAAACTTAATATTCATTTAAGTTAATGTTAATTACGTAAAAAGATGACAGAAATAATACATTTGACATTTAGAATTTGCCAGTTGGAGAGAGTTTAAACCAACAACTAAGTGAAAATTATTAGTTTGGGGGTTGTAGAGATAATTAAAATTCACTGATTTAAGTTGGACAACCATAAAAAAACATGGAAGCATTGAACAGCTGGTTCGTCTTATTATGGAACTCCTCATCAGTGTACATTGACGATCTCAACATGGAATACCCAAGTATCCACCAAAAACAATCAAGGGTGGTTATGCAATACCAAGGATTGATTAGAGTTACATCTGTACACCACTGGGTCCCAGCTCGCCGGTTCACAGATTAAACGTCTGTGTGAGACACTGAAGGTCTTGACTTCGATTCCCGAGTGAGGACTTGTGAATGCTCAATTGTAAAAAGTACAATACTTAAACAAAACAACTATTCAATGCTTTCGTGTTTGTGATAGTTATTTAAGTCCACTCGGATTTCAATATAAGAAAATTGTAGTGAATGAGAACACGTGTGGGGAAAATCAAATGTATCTGACCACAAAACTGCAGAGTATCTCACTAAAATCTGACAATCTTAGAGTATACAGTTAATTTGCAAACTATCAATCAATTGCTTCAATCTTGATCGTTTCTGCTATAAATATCAGTCCACAGTCTCCGATTATTACTGTTAATGTTTTTCTCAAATCAATTGTTCTGCGTTCCTGTTCTTTCCTTATCGATCTTCTGTTGAAATATATTCAATGCCCGACATCGCTAATATGCTACTTATGTGGATATAAATAGCCCACACCACAAAATTACTTACTACAGCTAAAAAAAGACTACAAACACACGCATTCACACTAATTCGTAACCCTTTAATTTGATGATGATGATGATGATGATGATGATGATGATGATGATGATGATGATGATGATGATGATGATGATGATGATGATGATGATGATGATGATGATGATGATGATGATGATGATGATGATGATGATGATGATGATGATGATGATGATGATGATGATGATGATGATGATGATGATGATGATGATGATGATGATGATGATGATGATGATGATGATGATGATGATGATGATGATGATGATGATGATGATGATGATGATGATGATGATGATGATGATGATGATGATGATGATGATGATGATGATGATGATGATGATGATGATGATGATGATGATGATGATGATGATGATGATGATGATGATGATGATGATGATGATGATGATGATGATGATGATGATGATGATGATGATGATGATGATGATGATGATGATGATGATGATGATGATGATGATGATGATGATGATGATGATGATGATGATGATGATGATGATGATGATGATGATGATGATGATGATGATGATGATGATGATGATGATGATGATGATGATGATGATGATGATGATGATGATGATGATGATGATGATGATGATGATGATGATGATGATGATGATGATGATGATGATGATGATGATGATGATGATGATGATGATGATGATGATGATGATGATGATGATGATGATGATGATGATGATGATGATGATGATGATGATGATGATGATGATGATGATGATGATGATGATGATGATGATGATGATGATGATGATGATGATGATGATGATGATGATGATGATGATGATGATGATGATGATGATGATGATGATGATTGAAGCTGGACCACCATGGATAACCTGGAAGCACTGGACGGTCGTTTTGTCCTATTATGGGACTTATCAGTGTCAGTGCGCATCCACGATCTAGCCTCGCGAGACTCGAACCCAGGACCGACCAGTATCGCGCCAGAGCACTTAACCTCTAGACCACTGATCTGGCCGTCATCCGATGGTGTCAATATCTAGCTTCAACAACCGTTCACCAATTTCTTCAGTGAGTTCCTATCTCACAACAGACGTAGATAATAACTTTTATAACATTTTTTCTTTATTCTCCTATATTGTATTACTACAAAAGAGTATTAACATTGGAGAAAATCTTGTGGTTTACTTTATAGAGTAACCTCAAGGGACTTTTAAAAAGTAGAGAGTATTGGACAACTGTTTCTTACTATTATGAAGCAATTCAGTTGCGTGCATTCACGACATTATAGGTCGAATGCAGAACTTCTGGTTTATTGACAAGCAGTTAACCTATAGACCAATGAATCATGATGTACTAGTTATTATTCGTAACTTAAACTAACTCGTGATATTGGACAATCATAATTTATTTTCATTGATTGATAATTGTATGATTTATGACATTGCTAAACTACAGTTGTCCCGGATGTCTATTAGAACTCCTGGAATTAGTAAGCGAGTGATTATTATCAGTATGAGCAATATGTAGAAATTGTCGAATTTTATAGTTCATAAAATGGACTGAACTTATTTAGATATTTAGAGTAAATCAGAAAGTACTAGATATCTAGCCGTTTGCCTATGGTAAGATCAGTCTGCTAAATAAACTAAAAAAAACCCAACAATCTTCAAGAATCCCTAGTATTAAGACTAGAGGAAATCTTAATTTCACTTTTTTGTCCAATAAACTTGGACATTCATAGAAAAATTATTGTTATAGTTCAATTGAAGACAATGGTGGATAATTAGCTCAATTTTGTGGATCAGTCGAAGTTAGACATTAACACCGTTGGATGCTGGCCGGCTCAGTGGTCTAGTGGTTAAGTGCTCGTGCGCGAGACTGATAGGTCCTAGGTCCGAATCTCGCAAGACGGAATCGTGGATGCGCACTGCCACTGAGGAGTCCCACAATAGAACGAGTTGACCGTTCAGTGCTTCCAGGTCTTCCATGGTGGTCTAGCTTCAATTGACTCATAATCTCAACTATTGAAATTACTATAATATCCCCAAAACCCCTTCTGAAAACATTTAGTTGTAACCAGATTTTGACATTAGTTGAAGAAATGTTGAAAGTCATTTTCAAAAAATCAAAGAGAATTGAACATTAGTTGTGTCTTAGTATACATCTGTTCAAAGTTTTCACTCACAACCTAATACATATTTAAATACATGAATTTCATATCTAATTAAAAATCTGAACTATTCATTTTTGACTTCTTAGATTTGAATTATGACGTAACAATTTTCTTCTCTTTTCTTTTATTTTTTTTCTCCTGTTACCTCTCTTTAGAAGAGAATAGGTTGATCATCAGTATTCTCCATCTAACTCTGCCTTGGATAATCTTTTCCAGTTACTATTTCTCTTTTTCATATATACTACCAATTCTCTACGTTGTGTATTCTTTGACCTTCTACTTTTTCATTATCCTTCAGAATTTCAAGTTAGCGCTTACCTAATAATACATTTTGATAATTTCATCAATCTATGTCTTATTCACATTGCTTCTTAGCTCTCTGAGCTAGGATCATGTATAAGAACAATTGTCTAGTACTCTCTCACTAACTATAGTCTTCTAATTGATATTATAGTATGATAAAAAATAGTATATCCATGCTGAATATATCTCTACAGTATTAATTATCAATTGTTTATGTATGTTATCATTACTGCTTATTCATTCCTCAATTCTTCATAGGAAATAATAATAATAATAAACTGTTCTAAACTGTTGACTTGGGAAGTAATTATTTGTTTGAGGAATTAAAAAAGGGGTTGCTCTGTTTTTATCATCTGATATAATAAGTGACCATATATATATTCTATCAATCTATTTATTATTAATATCATGACTTCTCATTGTTCATTTAGCCTTAGGGTTATTATAGTATCATTTCATTTGTAATTATTAACCAACAAAATAATAATAACAATACCCAATTGTTTGAAAGACAAACACTATAAACAAAACATATTTCTTTTTAGTTTATTTGCTGAAATAATAATAATAATCTAAGCAAAGATGGATAGTGGCTAACAGTGGAATCCAGGACGCGCGTTTCGTCCTATTTCGGACTCGTCAGCTGGATTTACCTACATCTCAGAGTTGATGTTCACTCTGGGATTCGAACCCAACACCTTTCGTTTCGGACGCCATCATGTTATCTTGTCAGTTACTGTTAATTTTGTTAATTTTAATCGCATATTTTGGAAAAATCTTATTAAAACCGTAACAATATTCATTCCAATAATATATTAGTAATAGTAGAGAATGAGAACACGGGTGGGAACAATCGAATGTATTTAAGCACAAATTATACACTATCTCATTAAAATCTGATAACCATACAGTAGTAAACAGTTAATTTGCAAACTATCAATCAATTGTTTCAATTTTGACTCTTCCTTCTGCAAATATCAGTCCATCTTCTCTGATTTCATAGTTTAGTTATTTTAAAACCGATTGCTCTTCGTTCCTGTTCTTTCCTTATTGGTCTTCTGCCAAAATACATACTATACCTGGCCATCACTATATTACTACTTATGTGGATATAAGTAACCCACATCACAATAATAATAATAATAATAATAATAATAATAATAATAGTGTGGTGAAATTTTAGATTAATGATTAGAGAATTCAACTATCAACTAGCAAGTCTTAAATTGGAGTTCTATTTCACTTATATTAGTATAGAAAAATAGTTAGTATCACTTAGTTTTTACATATGAACTATAGCTAATTAACCGATTACATGAATGTGTATTTGATCAATGAACTACATTATTGTAATTATAAATATCATTTATTTAAATTATAGATAGTCATTTAGCCGGACAACATACAGACGATTGTTAACAGGGATCCATTCTATTAGTGCTTATTCTGCCCTTGTACTAAGTGTTATGACTACACCTGCAAATTGTAGATAAGAATAAATGATTCGTTTAATTTACAAACACATAGAGATGAGTATTAGAAAGCTGAAAATCAAATTATTCTTTATAATACTTTATCTAAATATAAGTAGACAGTTGTATAGACGTAAAGGATTATCTGTCGATTTAATTCCTTTTGGTATTCAACTTAATGTATTTAAAATGTTATAAAAACTAGAGAAATAAGAATAAAAAGATTTGGAAAGTGAAAGAAATCAAAATGAGCAAGTTTAAGATAAATACACTTCAAGTATGATGAAAGAATTATTATAACTACAAATGTGATATGTGCTACTTATATCGACATAAGTAGTATAAATCGTGATTCAGGAATGGAATATCTGGTAGCAGAAGATTGAGAAGATCGAGAAGGGAAGAACAGAAACAGAGATTAATTGGTATGGAAATGAAGAACAGTGAAATCTGAGACGATTGATCGATATTTTCAAGGAAACAGTCAAGTATGATTGATATTTTGCAAATTAAGTACTTACTGTTTGCTTCTCAGATTTTATTATGTTCTGTAAATGCGTGTGGAAATACATTCAGTTGTCACCATTAGTGTTCGTTTTCACTACACAAAGCACTTATTTAGTTAGTTAATTATATCTGATAACGAGAAATTGAATAAAACGACGTTACTTTCTTGCTTACGCCTGTTACCGCGAATGGATCATTGGCCGCCGTTCAGCATTCCCCAACCCACTCTGTCTTGGGACTTCCTTTCTAGTTCTATCCAATTTTTGTTCATTTTACTCATGTCTGTCTCCATTTCTCGAAGTAATCTGTTCTTTGGTCTTTCTCTTCTCGTTTGATCTTCAGTATTCCATGTGGGGGCTTGTCTTGTGACTCAGTTGGGTGATTTCCTCAATTTGTATCCTATCCACTTCCAGAGCTTCATCCTGATTTCTTCCTCCACTGGAATCTGGTTTGTTCTCTCTCACAGTAGGTTGTTGCTAATAGTGTCTGTCCAACGGATCCGAATTATTTTGCGTAGACAACTGTTAATAAACACTTGTATCTTCATGATAATGGCTTTCGTAGTTCTCCACGTCTCCGCCCCATACAGTAGAAGTGTCTTGACATTTGTATTAGAAATTCTGATCTTCATGTTGGCTGACAATTGTTTTGAGTTCCAGATGCTCTTCAGTTGTAAATATTCTGCTCTTATCATTAAATGTCATTTCATTATATATATATATATATATATATATATATATATATATATATATATATATATATATATATATATATATATATATATTGATTATTTGGATTTTCACATCCATCCTGTGAGATTCGCCTTAATATTATCAGTAAGTCAAAATCATTTAAAGCAGATATGAATTGTGTTTAAAGTGAAAGGTACTGTGTTCAAGTCTCAAAGCAAACATCAACTTTGAGCTTCAAGGAAATTCAACTGACAAATCCCAGGTAAAATAAGGCGCGTTTCTTGGATTCCACTGCTAACTACCATCTATTTCTGATTTAAATGTATCTTTTGTTTCCTTGCTATTGGAAAGAATAACAATTAGTATTGCTTTCCAATCTAAGTACACTATATTCTACTATACTTAAGAAATGTTAGAAAGCAATCAAACCTGTTACAGAGATCAATTATTTAGAGAAAACAATACAACTTTTCATATATACTAAGAACCAACCTAAAAATTTATTTATATATTTAAACACATATATATTGGTACAAAATGGCACCAGATACATATGCGCCACACAAAATAATGAAAGTAGAAAGAGAAGGGATGAAAAGATAAGGCGGACTGAAATGTACAACCAGAAGACTCTTTCAGTTAGGAAAGTTATAGCCACTCTTTATGTAGAAAATAAAAGAAGGTTGCAGCAGGATCGCCACTGGCTTCAATTCTGAGC